TTTATATCAAGCTTGACTCTTTCCCTTTCTCCTAGATCATATTAATAATTGCCTTAAGTAGTATAATACCCTTACAATAAAATTACCCGGTATATATCAGTATTATTATTCCAATGAAAAATTTTCATTTTAGTATTTTTCAAAACAAACCCTTAAATTAAAGGTTCAATTGAATTATAAATTAAAGTTAAATGATCACCAATCTTGAACGTAATTTCCTATAAAATAAAGTAAAAGATTTATATAATTGATCCAAATAAATGAAATTAAATTAATAATGCCAATAAATTATATTACCTGGGAAATCACCAATTACATTATTCAGTTTTCCTTTCCACCAATCATTTTCATTTGCTGTTCGCATAATAACCTCAATCTTATCATCTTTTCTAAATGATAAATCATTTTCTGCTTGCGCATCATAATCGTATAATGCTCTAACATACTGTGGTTTTGAACCATGAGGTGGAAAAGGTGGAGGAGCTTTGTAAATAGGATAAAGTTTTGAATTTGAAGGGGACCTAGCTGCAGAGCTTGGTCCAGCTGGCACGTTTACAGGATGGGTAGATATAGATGAATAAGATGGTGGCGGTTCCGCATAATCATCGCTATCGTTATTATTTGATTTATACGTGGAACTTTTACTAGGATGCCCTGTCCCAGTTGGTTCATCACTTTTATCATGGTGCAAACTGCTATCTAAGATAATATCGAATAGATCCCGTTAGTAAATAAAATAGGGAAATTTCGAAGACGTGACGTAAAGGAGTGATCGACTTACTTTCTTTTTTCGATCCTTTCTTGTCTCCTCTCTGTAATAAAATAAATTGATCAATTTGTTGATTTACTTCAACTTTCCTTTCATCGTAATGTTCTACAATATCCGACCGAACATCGAAGTAGCCAGTTTTATTAATTAAAAGGTCCATTTTTTCATATAAAATACCGTAAATTTTTAATTGCAAATGATAAAAATTAGTGATAATTAGTTCGATGAATTGAGCCCTGTATTCAAAGAATACGGGCAATTCCTTCTTGAGTAATTCATTGTAATGTTCATATTCTCCTGTCGCCTTGGTAAGACTTTCTTCAGCCTGTGCCGGCAAAAAAAAAAAAAGAATTCAATAATAATCTTTTAAATTCAAAGCATCGTATTTTCGACAATACCTTAACCAATGACTTTGCCTCACTCAACGATTTATCCTTTTTATCTTGAAGCTTTTTCACACTAACTGTGTATCGATCAAAATCCACCTTTTTGTGCTCCCGTTTTGTAATAATTTTCTTTATCATTTTAATAATGTCGATGAATTCCTTAGAAGGTAATACTACCATATTATCCACGCGATCCTAAAATATTGAAAAATTTTATATATATTCGTAAAATATTAAAATATAAATAAAATTTAAATATTCGCTCACCAATTCAGGTAAAATAATATCTCTCAATTCGACCATCGTCATTTGAAATTCCTTAACAGAATTCATAGATTGAACAGGAGTTGCAACACGACGGGTAGTTGATTCAGCTTCATTCTTGCCTACGATAGGGTTATATAATTCTACCATAATATCAGAAAAATTAGCCTGATGATTCAACATAACTACATAAAATTCAAAAGGATGTTTTGAGTATTGGATCAGAATTAAAATGAATCAAAAAGAATTTATTGAAACATACATGAGATACCGTCCCTAAATTTAACAGCATCTTTATACATCTGTTCCGTCTTGTTATGCAACTCCACGAAACGATTTAGAATATCATCATAGTCAGTATCTTGAGTAGCTGTTATTATACAAAAACATCAGCTCATCTTGAAACTTTCTTTAAATGAATGACGAGATCTTGGACGTAATCACTTACAAGTTCCAAGTCCAGTTATTGAGCGAAAGTTTTGAGGTAACCTCCCCAAAGCTCTACTAGTTCCTTTCCTAAAATAAAATAAAATAAATAAAAATTAACATTTTTTTTTTTCTTTGGAAATTAGGCAGATCGGTTTTATTGATCCTACCAACTCATATTAAAAATCACGAAACCGTTTCTAGAAATAAGATGATGATGATATCATATTTTCTGATCATTTTAGGTTCGGAAAAATTAAAGTTCAATTTCGTAATTTTTAAATTATCTATTATTAGGTATGTGATACACAGGCTAATGCTGGTAAGTGGATAAATCTAGACAAATCTAGCAGTATCATCTTTTTAATGAAATAATTCACACGTGAATCGGCCGACGTTAACTAACTTAACGTCATTTATGACATTGTTCAGGAGGCGAAAAAAAAATTAAAAAAAAAAAATTGAATTGTGTATCAATGTGTATCGAATGACATAAGATTTCAAATTTTTTTTTTAAAAAAAAAAAATAAATAAAGTAACGAAACTGGAAAAGGAGCGGGGATTCTCCACAGTAGGTCATACGTACATGCATAAATCAGCAGTAATCACGACCATGTTTAATGAAAAAATGAGAGATCATAAAGATAACACGATTATTGAAACCTGATCAACCAAAATTCTACTACGAATAAAGATAAATAGGGTTTAAGAATATAAATTTGGTAATCTATTGTAACTTTGATTTTGTATGGTTACCGTTTATTTATATATCGAAACACAACATATATTTTTATTGATTTACTTTACAGATTTTGGCACCTGGTAATTTTTCTGTTATTTCTAAATATAGTCAGATGCTAGAAAATTTATTAGCTAGCCCAATTTATACTTTTGAATACAATTTGATTTGTTAAACTATTGCCAAGAGGTTGCACGGATTGTAATTTGAACAATTTTGATCAAAAAAAAAAAAAAAAATCCAGTTTTGTCCTTGACTAAAAAAAGTTATATATTGTTAATGAAACAACAATCTTTATATCCCGATGGATCTTCTATCGGTAGTTAGATGTTTTGAATTGATTATGATAAATAAACGGGATCTTTTTTTTTTCAATATATTGTATATATATATAAATAATCTATTTAAATCTCCCTTTATAATTTTCTTCATGTTTCACAACATTTTTCATTAATTCTTTTCAGTATTTTTTGTGTATATGAAGTAATCTGTTGGGAATCACCACAACCTAATTGCCCGATTAAATTATTTGAATTTATATAGATTACTGTAGACGATCATTTGTCATTTGATTTGACATTTGACACATAAATATTATAAAAAACTTAACAGCCCGACTTTGGCTTCCCCTTTTTTTTTTCAAAAAAAAAAAAAAAAAAATCCTATTTAAATAAATAATAAAGAAAAAAAGATTTTTCAAAAACTATTATATAAGTAAGCTTTAAAGTTTCATTCCACAACTCGTCTTTTTTTCAATCGACCCACTTTCGTTTCGACAAAGATGGTTACCTTTACTACAGATTATTGGGCACCAGCTCTTGATAGTAAGGCTCGTCGTCGTATGACTGAATCAGAAGAAAGAGCTGTTAGAGTTACAAGAGAGCGGTTTAATAATGGAACAAATCCTACTTCCACCTCGAAAAAC